CAAGTGTCAACAAGAGAAACATGCTGGTGCCACTTAGCACACAAGTAGCATGCAAACAATCATGGGAGAACTATGCTGGGCGGTGTCTTCTTCGTTCAAGTCGCGTACGACAACACTCTTGTCTTCTGGCGTGCACGACAACACTCTTATTGCCACATGCTCAGTCTCTCTTCTTACTGCCGCACGTGCTCACTTCCGCACTCACGACAACATCTCAAGCATGCACAGCAGCTCCTCCAACAAGCACAGCAGCGCCTTCCTTGCACGCACAGTGGCACCGTCCTTGCACTCACGGCGGCATCTCAAGCCATAAAAGTCTCGGTCCTTACATCATCCCCCCCTTAACAATGATTTTATCCTCAAAACATATTTTTGCTAATTGAATAAATGGGGGTACTTATTCCTGATGTCATCTTCATGTTCCCATGTCGACTCTTCCTGCATGGTATTATCATAAAACACGGATTAGAGGAATTTATTTATTACGCAACACCTGCACTCTTCAACCCAATATCTCAATAGGTTGCTCGATGTAGGTCAAGTCTTCTCTGATTGGAACTGATTCATATCTTAGAACATGGGACGGGTCAGGCTGGTAGTTCCTTAACAGAGATACATGAAAGACATCATGGATGTTTGCCAACTCAGGTGGCAGGGCCAGTCGATATGCCACGCTCCCAACTTTTTCCAGAATTTCAAAAGGTCCAATAAATCATGGGCTCAATTTTCCTTTCTTACCGAACCTCGTAAACCCTTAGTTGGCGACACCTTCAGGAATACTCAATCACCTACCTAAAACTTGAGGTCTCTTTTTCGGTTATCAACATAACTCTTCTGCCAGCTCTGAGCTGTTCTAAGCCTTTCTCAGATCAAAGCAATCTTCTCAAAGGTCACTTGAACAATTTATAGCCCTAAAAGCCTCCTTTCACCAACCTCATCCCAATAGAAAGGTTACCTGCACTTCCTCCCATACAGGACCTCAAAAGGCATCATCTGAATACTAGCTTGGAAGCTGTTGTTGTAGGAAAATTCAATCAGACATAAATGATCATTTCAACTTCCCTTCAAGTCAGTAACACAAGCCCTTAGCATGTCCTCCAAATTTTGAATGGCCCTCTTTGATTTCCCATCAGTCCGGGGGTGAAAGGCAGTGCTAAAAGTAAGTTTCATCCCCAAGGCTGACTATAGACTGACCCAAAATTTAGAGGTGAATCTAGCGTCCATGTCGGACACGATGTTGGCAAGTATTCCATGCAATCTCATTATCTCCTTAATGTATAACTGGGCCAGTTTATCCAAGGTATAGGTCGTACGGATTGACAAAAAGTGAGCGGCTTTGGTTAGCCGATCCACTACAACCCAAATGCTATCATGCCCAGAACCTGTTCTAGGCAAATCAGAGACAAAGTCCATAGTAATGTATTCCCATTTCCATTTTAGCACGGGCATGGGCTGCAATAATCAGGTGGGCTTTTGGTGCTCAGCTTTCACCTGTTAGCATGTTAAACACTTAGAGACAAGTAATATTACATCTCTCTTCATGTCATTCCACCATAAAGCTTTCTTTAAGGCTTGATACATCTTAGTAATCCCTGGGTGAATGGAATAACGGGAGCAGTGAGATTCTTCTAAAATATATCTCTTCATATCCTCATCATTCGGAACACAGACCCGATCCCTGAATCTTAATAAGTCATCACCACTTATAGAGAAATTATATTTCCTTCCCAGTTTTGCTCCTTCTAGAATTTTCATGAGCTGGGGGTTTTTTTTTTGTGCCATTTTGATTTATTGAAAGAGCTGGGGCTCCACCCTTTTGCAAGTAGTCATACCTACCCCATCATTAAGGGAAAGAGCTGGGTGCCACCCTACCTATCCTCTAACAATTTCATCTCTCGAACCATTAGATGTGCCACTGATACTACAGGCTTTCTACTTAAGGCATCTTCTACCACATTAGTCTTGCCCGGGTGGTAATTGATGGTACAATCATAATCATTCAATAGAACCATCCATCTCCTCTGCCTCATGTTTAATTCCTTCTAAGAAAATAGGTACTTGAGGCTCTTATGATCTATAAATACCTTAAATTGGGCTCAATAGAGGTAGTGTCTTCATATTTTTAAGGCAAATACTATAGCCACAAGCTCCAAGTCATGAATCAGATAATTCTGCTCATACGGCTTTAACTATCTAAAGGCATAAGCAATGACCTTCCCTCGCTGCATCAGCACACATCCAAGCCCTTTATGAGAGGCATTAGTGTAAATCACAAAGTCCTCATTTCCTTCGAGTAAGGTCAATATCGGGGCCATAGTCAGTCTCTTCTTTAGTTCTTGAAAACTTCTCTCATAATCATCTGACAGCACAAATTTTATTTCCTCCTGGGTTAGACGAGTCAGGGGAAGTGCTATCTTCGAAAACCCTTGTACAAAATGTCTATAATATCATGCTAATCCCAGAAAACTATGAACCTCTGTTATATTCGTCGGTCCCCCCCACTTAAGTACGGCCTCAATCTTAGAAAGATCAACGACAACCCCATCCTTGGAACCACATGCCCAAGGAAGGTCACACTAGGAAGCCAAAACTCACTCTTGCTCAGCTTGGCAAATAATGTTTTTTACTTCAGAGTCTGAAGGACTACTCTTAAATGCGACCTATGCTCTTCTAGGTTCTTTGAATACACCAAAATATTATCTATAAAGACCACCACGAAATTATCCATAGAAGGTCTAAAAACTCTATTCATCGGAACCATGAAAACAGCTGGGGCATTTGTCAACCCAAACGGCATTACCCAAAACTCATAGTGACCATATTGGGTTCTGAATGTGGTCTTGAGAACATCTTCCTCCTTGACCCGAAGTTGGTGATAGCCCGATCGAAGATCAATCTTAGAGAATACTTGGGCCCCTGGAGGTTGGTCAAAGAGTTTGTCAATCCTAGGCAGAAGATACTTGTATTTTACTGTCGCCTGATTCAATTGTCTATAGTTTATGCAAAGTCTCATGGACCCATCCTTCTTCCTCACAAATAGAATAGGTGCACCCCAAGGCGACACACTAGGTCGGATTAACCCCTTTTTTAGCAACTCCTGCAATTGTTCTTTTAGTTCTTTTAATTCCACTGGGGCCATCCTATATGGGGCCTTGGAGATGGAAGCAGTATCAGGGACCACATCTATCACAAACTCTATCTCCCTGACTGGAGGTAAAGAGGTCAACTCCTCAAGAAAAACTTCTAGATACTCTTTTACCATAGGTATCTCTTTTAACTTGAACTGGATGTCCCAATTCTCTACTACATAGGCTAAGTATCCCACACATCTTTTGGCCAGAAGACGGGAAGTCCAAAGGGCAGAAATAAAGTGTAGAGGGGGAGTATCTTTGAAACTCGCAAAGTGCAGTTCAGGCTGGTAAAGGAGTCTAAAGGTCACCGTCTTATTCTAACAATTAACAGTAGCACAGTGTGTGGCAAACCAGTCCATGCCCAGAATAACATCAAAGTCCTTAATATCTAAAAGTACTAAGTCTATGGGCAAGTCACATCCGTCAAGCAAGACTTCACATTGTTTGTATACCCTATCAATTTCCATAGAATCCCCCACAGGTTTGCACATCACTAAAGTATAGTCAAGACATGAAGGTTCAATATTTAGATGACATGCAAAATGAGGTGCAACAAAAGAGTGAGACGAACCAAGGCCAACTAAGATTTTAGCTTCTCTACCACAAACAGGGAGTGTACATCTTATCACCAAGGTAGATGCCTTGGTCTCCTATTCTGTAAGTGCAAATACCCGACCTTGAGTCTTCGATCGGTTCTCTAGCTTTATCATAGGACAGTCCTTGATCCAGTGACAAGGTTTGCCACACTTCAAACATGCGTTAAACTTATTGTAACACTCATCCGTAGAATGGTTGTTCAACCCACAATAAGAACAGGCCTGGCACCAGTTATCATCCACGTTGCCTTAGGAGGCAGTCGAGTCCTCTTCCAAAAGTTCCCCGATGATGCGGACCTTACTTTCCCTTATTTCCTCAACCGAAACTCCTCGCAATCTCTCTCAATCTTCATAACGAGATCTACCAAGGGGGAGAACGTCTTAAGATTAGTTGATATTACCCTCCCTTTGATATCTGGCCGGAGGCCCCTTTCGAACTTGCTTGCTTTATGTGACTCCATATTGACGATATGGGGCACGTACCGAGAGAGCTCTGTGAATTTGGCTGCATATTGCTCCACTAACAACCTTCCTTATTGCAGCTCAATAAACTTGACTTCCTTCCTTTCCCGGATAGAATCAGGGAAGTATTTTTCATCAAATGCCATTAGGAATTTTTCTCAGGTGGCCTCAGTCCCCGTCTCCCTCCAGGACTGCTTCACTGAATTCCACCAATGTTCAGCTTCCCCTTCGAGCATAAAAGTCCCCAATCTTACTTTCTGCTCATCAAAGTAATGGAAAACATCCAACATCTTCTCTACTTGTCTCTTCCATTTTTCTGCCTTTTCTACTCCCCCGTACCCTGTGAATGTTGGCACAAGTCTCCTGAACCTCTCAATCAATTCACTATCATCTTGGCTTGGGGCAGAGGCAGCATATGGTCTTTCATTATTTGAATTATGGTCCCAAGCATTTTGAAAAATTCCCCCAAGGCCTCAGTGTTCTTGTTACTTGAACTCGCATTGTTGCCACGTGTCCTCCTCATCTTGACATTAAACAGGAACACCCATTTACAAGCCTATCCAAAAAGACAAAAAAACAACACGCTAAGGACACTTTTAAAACTTTTAAAGCATAGAATCCTATCCTGGCTGCTCTAATACCACAACTGTCACAGCCCCGCCCCCAGACCCCTACCCCGGAGGGCAACAGAGTGTAGGACCATGAACCAGGGTAGCGAATGCCACTCAGGTGGGAGTGAGCTCAACGCCTTAGAAAGACGGTAATCAAATCAATCCACGAAAGAAAACAAAACTTCCATAAAATACACACATTCACTAAAAGCTGGACAGTCAGATCCTTAACTGAAATACACTGTATATAAACTTTTCCCAAAGAATTAAAAACGTTCGCGGGCTTCGAAGGCTCTGATCATTACAGAACTTCAAATTTTAAACAGAGTCTGTGGCTAACAGCCATCAAAAACATACAATTGAAATCAAACTTCTGTAAGCAACACAACTTCAACTTCTACTCGCGGTCCCTGGGTCACCTGTCCTCGATTCACTGCTATCAATCTACAAGGATGGAAGTTGAAAGAATGAGCTAAAAAGACCAGTAAGTAGACTCAAATGCCATGTGCCATTATTATATCAAGCAATGTGTCGAGAATGATTCTTTTCAAGGATGAGCAGTTACAATGCAGGGAACATATGAATTAGCAATTATCAAATAATCCCATCACAAGAATCCTAACAAATCATCATCACTCATAATTCAACAAGCATATTAATGAATATAAACAACATTAGCAAGCATTAACCAACTCACTCCCTGATTCTCTTGCTCCCAAAGTCGAAGCCCTATTCATCAGACCAAGTTAATTCCATTGCTTAGGACTTCTACTATCACTCAAGAGGGAAGGCAATGACAAGTGGGTGACCCACTTCATAATGCCTTCACTCATACACACACATAGTCCCCAATGAGCTTTAGGGATTTTGATAGGCACTTGCCTTGCAAGACACGATTCACTTTTCTTTTTGCATCACACGAGATTTTGGGGGGTGGATCCTCCCATCACACACTTATCCTAACTCACCTCCTATCATAGGAAGTTAGGGAAACTGTCGGCAGCAGTTGGCAATGCAATACGCTCAAAGCACGCCACTGGATCACATGTCACTTTGCTTGTCTCAATATCAAGCACACATATCACCGACCACATGGGCCTTATCACATAGCACTTAGCACAAAACGCTTATCCCTTAGCACTTATCCAATAACACTTATCAAATGGCACTTATTAAATAACACTTATCACATGGCACCTATCACATGAAACTTAAAAATTAATACTTATCACATGGCACTTACCACATGGAACTTAACAAATAACACTTATTAACACTTAATAAATAACACTTGTCATGTGGCACTTATCACATAGAACTTAACAAATAACACTTATCACATGGCACTTATCAAATACGCTTATCACATGGCACTTAGCACATGCCCCTTAACAAATAACACTTATCACATGCACTTATTACATAAGACTTATCACTTTTTTGGGAATTCCTTCAGCCACAACAACGACGTCCTCATAGAAAGATGAGTATAGCCTCCAAACCATAAAGAATTTTGACGTGGTCCAAAAACTATTTTTGAAGTATATTCAGGAATCCTTCTTTTAAAAGTAGTTTTAGTTCATTTGGATAATATTTGGTCAATCAACAACTCGTTACAAGATGTGTAATAGTTATTAAAATTCCAGCAACCACCACAGTGACACACTCATGGAAAAATGAGTATAATTTCCAAACCATAAAGGATTTTGGCATGGTTCCAAAACCATTTCGAAGTAGATTTACACATATTTCATTTAAAGTATTTTTAGTTAATTTGGATGCAATTTGGCTAGTCAAAAACGTTGTACAAAACATATAATAGTCCTTGGAAATTCCTTAGTACAATTTTGGCATATTTTAGTAAATGTCTGATAACTCTTTAATCGAAAGAGATATTGATATGGGGTATTTTCCTTTTTCAATTAGACTCAAAGAGGTATTTTTCCACGAATGTTCATGCGCAACAGAGGTATTCTCAAAACTCAAACAGTTGCTCAAAGAAGAATCAGAGTTCTGGAAAAACAGAGTGCACACATGACTAACTACATCACTTCCATTTTCCTACTTAATTTTCATAAATTAACATCAATGAATCATGCATAAAACAAACATGAAACATGGATCTTGAGTCCACTTACAGTATTACAAAGACTCCTAGTATACTCCAAGGGCCATGCTCAAAAGATTGTATGTGTCTTCAACTTCTTAAGGCTGAGGGGAGGGCGTGAGGGGGAGAGAGAGAGAGCAAAGGCTTAAGGAAGGGTGAGAAGGGCTTAAATAAGCCAAAGGGGGAGGTGGCATAAGGAGCATGACAAGTGTCCTCGTTGGCATCATGCAAAGGCCAAGTTTCAATAGGAGAAACATGCAAGTGCCACTTAGCATACAAGGAGCATGCAGACAATCATGAGAGAACTGTGCTCGGCAGTGTCTTCTTTATCCAAGTAGCGCACGACAACACTCTTTTCTTCTGGTGCGCACGACAGTGTCACCATCTCTGGTCCGCAGGGCAGCACTCTTACTGCTGCGTGCTCACTCTCTCTTCTTCTTCCGTGCACGCTCACTATCGCATGCTCTCTTTTCTTCCTGTATCTCTTACTGCTGCGTGCAGCAGTAACTTGCATGAACGGCGGATCCTTCCTTGCTCACATGGCGACATCTCAAGCACGCACGACGACTCCTCGAGCACACATGATGACATCTCAAGCATGCACAATGACTCCTTCCTTGCACGCACCGAGTCATCTCAAGCCAGAAAAGTCTTGGTCCTTACAGTGTTAGACAAAAGAGAGGGAAGAAATGTCGCGCACGATGGTGAGTCCTATCGTGCTAAACAGAAGAGAGAAAGGAGAGAAATATCATACTCGGTAGTGCGTACTGTCATGCCAGACAGAGAAGAGAGAGATGTTCTTGGTAGTGGATACTGTCGTGCCAGAGAGAGAACTGAGAGAAGAGAGAGAAATATCGTACTCGATAGTGGATATTGTCGAGCCAGACAAATAGAAGAGAGAGAAAAAGAACGAAGAGAGAGAAATGAAAGAAGCTAAGAGAGAGAGGAAAGAAGAAGAGAGAGAAATGAAAGAAGCACATGAAAGAAGCACAAAGAGAAAGGAATGAAGAAGAGAAAGAAAGAAAAGAAGCAGAGGAGAGATAAAGAAGAGAGAAAGGAAAGAAGCAGAGGAGAGAGAAAGAAAAGAGACAAAGATGAGAGGAGAGAGAAAGTTACCTTTAACGCCCAAGGGTACTGGACTAAATTGTCTCTCTTCTCTCTCTCTCACTCTCTCTCTCTCTATAAACCGTGACCCAAAAACTCAAGCGAAAGCCAATTTTTTAATTGACGTAGAGGTTCCTTTACATGTGAGCATCACGTGCTTATATGGATTTTAAGTCCAAACATGGATGGATGCCCAATTTTTAACATAATTGTGGGAAAAAAAGAATTAAATGAATTAAATAAAATTATTAAATTGGTCAAAATGACGATTTTACCCCTCACCCACAAATCCTAAAATTTCAGTTAAGTCCCTGTCATGGCCATGCAACCTTCGCGATCTTTCAAGATTCATTCGGGGTCCTTCCGATATTTATCTAGCCAAAAGATTATCACATTCTTGAACGCCTCGGGAAGACGGTTGTTTTGATACCCATTTTGAGCCATGGATCGGACTTTTGGGCCACGATCACAAGGTGTAAAAATCATGAGAAACATGTGAACTTTTATACAAGATCATACTCATTTCTTAGTGTTTTTCCACGATTTCTTCGCTAAATTTTGACGAGCATGCTGCCATGAGTGTTTGGTGATGAACGTGGCTCGATTTGGTGTCCGAACGACATTTTTTCAAATTTGGTATTTTGGCCGAGGTTTGGTTTTCGATGGCAAAAAATTGCAGCAACTTTGAAACGGTCGGGCGGCGAATCTGATCATCCATCACGTGTGAGGTTCTGCTCGAACGAATTCTTTGACCTCGTGCTCGTAATGGATCTGTTTGAGACCGATTCGTCGTGCGAGCATTGTGATGTGGCCATTTGATCGAGGCGCGCTCCTATTAGAAAATCTGCAGCCTTGCCTTGAATTGCAATCTTCTCTCTTGTTTTTCTCCCTGCTCGGGTCTTGACATGGGTCATGCCACATAGCGAAATGCTCGGGTCGACAAGATGAACATGCTCCCAAAATTTGAGCTTGATCTGATCCGGGACGAGAGAGAGATGGCCTTTCAAAGTTCAGCCTGAAACCTAAAAACACAGTTTCCATTAATGGAAACTGGTTCATTGAGGGTGCACGATAATAGTGTGAGGCTTACCCATTTTGTGTAATTTACAGTTAAGTCCCTGTCATGGCCATGCAACCTTTGCAATCTTTCGGGACTCGTTCGGGGTCCTTCCGATATTTTTCTAGCCAAAAGATTATCACTTTCTTGATCGCCTCGGGAAGACAGTCGTTATGATACCCATTTTGAGCCATGGATCGGACTTTTGGGCCACGATCACGAGGTGTAAAAATCATGAAAAACATGTGATCTTTTATTCAAGATCATACTCATTTCTCAGTGTTTTTCCACGATTTCTTTGAGAAATTTTGACAAGCATGCTGTCATGAGTGTTTGGCGATGAATGTGGCTCGATTGGTGTCCGAACGACATTTTTCCAAATTTGGTATTTTGGCCGAGGTTTGGTTTTCGATGGCCGAAAATTGCAGCAACTTCGAATCAGTTGTGCGGCGAATCGGATCAACCATCACGTGTGAGGTTCGGCTCGAACAAAGTCTTTGACCTCATGATCGTAATGGATCTGTTTGAGGCCGATTCGTTGTGCGAGCATTGTGATGTGGGCATTTGATCTAGGCGCGCTCCTATTGGAAAATCTGCAACCTTGCCTTGAATCGCAATCTTCTCTCTAATTTTTCTCCCGGCTCGGGTCTTGACATGGGTCGTGCCACATAGTGAAATGCGCCGGTCGACAAGACGAACATGCTCCCAAAATTTGAGCTTGATCTAACCTAGGACGAGAGAGATATGGTGTTTCAAAGTTCAGCCCAAAACCTAAAAACACAATTTCCATTAATGGAAATTGGTTCATTGAGGGTGCGTAGTAATAGTGTGAGGCCTATCCATTTTGTGTAATTTTACCATAACTTGGCCCAGAAACGTATGATCGATCCAAAACTTGGTCCCTAATATTTTTTGAATGTTTCAGATCCAATGGCGGTTGTTATGTGGTCATTTGATGCTCCGGTGATTGGGCTACATTTATAAGGTCCATTTTCAAGGCGTTAGAGGTCGTTTTTCCAAAACTATTTATGTATCTATACTGCCTTAAACTCGCCGGATTGAGACGAAACTTGGTAGATGTTCATAAGAAACCTTTAGGTACATTTTTGAACCTTCTTGAGCCATTCTGAGACTATCAGAAATTTCAATTCTGGATCAGGGCTTATTGACCTGCGG